CGGCGAGGCGGCGAGCGCGCAGCCGCGGCGGCCCGCTCCCGCTCGGCGCCGGGGATGGCGGCGGGCGCGTCGGTGGTGGAGGCGCTGGGGCGGCTGTGGCAGGTGGAGGCTCCGCTGGGCAGCGGCTCCTCGGCCGCCGTCTTCCAGGCGCGCTGCCTCGGCGACCCCCGCGCGCCGCCGGCCGCCGTCAAGGAGTTCCTGCCGCCGGGGCCCGGGCTGCAGGCTGCGGGGAGCCCCGGCCAGGGCGGCGGCGGCGACTACGGCTTCCGCAAGGAGCGCGCCGCGCTGGAGGAGCTGCGGGGCCACCGCAACATCGGTGAGGGCGGGCGGGGCGCCGCTCGGCCCGGGCAGCGCGGCTCCTCGAGGGCCGGCCTTGCCGCCGCGGCCGCAGCGCCAGTGCGGGCGTCGCCTTCCTCACGCGCCGCAGCCCTGCCCTTCCTCCCCGGCGGGGCCTGCCGACGGGCAGTGGGGCTGCCGGCGCGGAGGGCTGCGCGCGGGGGCCCCTTCGCCCCGCCGGGCTTGTCCTCCCGGGGGCGCTTCGCGACCCGCACCGAGCCTGCAGGGCCGGCACCCGAGGGCTTCCGAGCCTGCAGGGCGTGCATGTCGTTCGCGGGGAGGGGCGGCGGCGGGAGGTCCGGCGCGGGGAGGGGAGGGCGCCCGGGAACCGACCCGCCGGCCCGCGCAGCGCTTCCGTCCGCCTCGGGCGCGCGGCGGCCAGTAGCCGGCGGTGCGCGGGGGCCGTGGGGGCCCGGCCGGTGGCGAGCGCCTCCTCCCCCGCGGCCCCGCCTCGCCTGCTTGGAGCGGAACTGCGCCCCGGCGCCCGCTTCGCGGGAGGGACGCGAGCTCCGGCCTTCCGGGCGGAGGAACGGCGCCTCCCCTCGCGGCACACGCGGCGCCTCCCGCCCCTTCTCCCCTGCTCGCCTCGGCGCTGCAGCTGGGACCCCTGCCCCAGTTCGGTCGCCCTTCCCTGCACTGCCCCCAGCCCTGCAGGATCCCTTTTCCGTAGCCAACTAGAGGGGTGGTGCGCGCCTAGGAGCCCCCCCCCCCCCGCAAAGAAGCTGCAGTTAACCTGTGAATAGTTCTTTGGTTAATCGTGGGTGGTTTAACTCACAATTACCCAAACGTGCAGGTTCACCTATCGTGGAATAGCCTCCAGTAGGGCTTGATCAGAGGTTGCACATTGAAAGTTTTGGCGGCATGCACACCACACATTAACTCGCACGCGGGTGCACTCGGATCCTGTGTGTTGTGTGAATGGTTTGCTTCTTTGTCAGGATTAGTGCAGGCAGCAAGTGCCGATCCCAACTAGAGCGTTCCATTGCTAGTCCAAGCTGCCCATCTTACATGTATTTCATCAATATTAGTTTGAGGGTCGGCCTTGGGGCCTGAGGTGGGGATTCACCTCCTCATTGGAAGGCTCGTCCATAAGAAGAAGCCAGGTGCTAGCCTGGGGCTGGCGTAGACCCGAGCTGGCATGCCCTTGAACGTGTGTCTGCAGCGGGGCGGGGGGGGGTCCTCCTTTTTCTAGGAGGGCGTCTTGGGGAGCCGCTGCAGGGACTGACCGCAGCCCGGCTTCCGAGGAGCGGTGCTTCCCGGGGCTCTGGCTGACTGCCGACGCTTTCCCCTCGCAGTGACCCTCTACGGGGTGTTCACCAGCGGCTGCCCCGCCAAGGGCCCCTCGTGCTGCCTCCTGCTGGAGCTGCTGGACGTGAGCGTGTCGGAGCTGCTCGTGCACTGCAACCCGCACGGCTGCTCCATGTGGGTCACGCAGCACTGCGCTCGCGACGTCCTGGAAGCCCTGGCCTTCCTCCGCCACAAGGGCTACGTGCACGCTGACCTGAAGCCGCGCAACATCCTGTGGAGCGCCGAGCACGAGTGCTTCAAGCTCATCGACTTTGGGCTCAGCTTCAAGGAGGGCAACCAGGTGGGTGGCCGCTCTGCCCCGTGTCCCTCTGGCGGCACGGAGGAGGGGGCGCAGAACACGGGGCTTCACGCAGCGGATCGCGCCTGTGTTTGCACCTCGCCTGTCTCCCGCCCTTGCCTTGCCGGGGGTCCGTCCTGAGTGCCTCTGCCCTTCCCGGGGGGAAGCGGGTGATCGGCGTCCTCCTCTGGGGGAAGTTTAAAGAGGGACTGCTGCTTGTGAGGACTTCCTCTTGCTAGTGCTTCTGGGAAACATTGTCAGTGGGTAGCATTTGCCGGTTTTGCAGCCACATCGCAGTGCCGACTCATATTTAGCTTGCGATCTATGACAATTTTCATTTTCAGGTCTGCTGGAAGGTTTTGGTGGACCCTCACTGGGTATTCTTTGCCATTTGATATCTTCTGTTTTTGAGGGATGCAGGTGGCGCAGTGGTTGAAGCTGCTGTGCTGCTTTGCTGGTTGATCGAAAGGTCACCAGTTCGAGTCCGCACAACGGGGTGAGCTCCCGTTGCTCCACCCCAGCTCCTGCCAACCTTGCAGTTCGAAAGCATGTAGATGCAAGGAGATAAATAGGTATCACCTTGGTGGGAAGGTAACGGCGTTCCTGCACCTCGGTGTTCAGTCATGCCGGCCCCATGGCCACAGAGACTGTCTGCGGACAAGCGCTGGCTCCCTCGGCCAGGAAACGGAGATGAGCGCCACCCCTGAAAGTCAGGCATGGCTGGACTTAACAGCAAGGGGAAACCTTGACCTTGACCTTCTATTTTGGTTGGAATTGTTTGTACTTTTGCCTTCACAATTTCCTTTTTTATCAACACCCACCCATTTTGGTTGGTTTTCTTTAGTGTCACTTGCCACTTAATTATCGTTGCACTGAGTTTATTACTATCAGCTTTCCCCAAATCCAGAGCATGTGTGAGGCTACACTCCCTCTTTGCTTCCCTTTAAATCAAAAATTCAGGTCCCTTGTGCTCACGTACATCAAAACAAAACAAAAAGACACGAAATTTCGACCCTGTAATTAAAATATGCTCTTGTTGCTCTAAACGTGGAAGCGTTTACAAGTACGTCCTCATTCAGTAGAAACGGGATGTCTTTAGTGTGTGCACATTCTTGAATTAAACTGCGTCGTGGAAGGAACGAAATGGGTAGCTTTGATGTAACATCCGTCACTGTTGATCGTGCTGATTGCCACATTTTGTGGTGTTTTTTAGCATGCCAGAGTATTTCTAAATCTTTTGCAGTGCCTCTTCTAACCATTACATAATGGCCAATACCATTTTATTGGTGGTGAACTGAGTTTGTGACTTCCTGGTGGACAAGTTTGTTCAGATCTGGTAGCCCAAAGTCCCTTCTTGAGCCATGCAGCAAACCCACGGGGTGCAGAGGCAGAAGCAAAAGACTTCTGCCCTTTGTTTTGGGTCTCTTTAATTGGATGTTGACATTCATGCTCTTTAGAGTGTGATGAATATTCATGAGCAACTGCAGCTGATAAAAGGCTCAGCCTGCCTGCCCTGCAGTCTCTGGGCTAGAGAGTGATAGTCTCGGCCCCTGGCAGAAATCTTGGCACAGCTTCAGTCAGGTTCCTTTGCTTTCCGTAGGTGAGCATTCAAGCACATGCTTTGGTCCTTTCCCAGGGGCAGGCAGACCCTCACCCCCGGAAAGGGTCTGTCTCCTTCCTCTTAAGACAATTTGAGCTCAGGCTGCAGTGCTGAATTGCCACGAAGTATTCCCCAGAAGTACCTTCTGGGCAGGCCGTTTGGTGTAACGAAAGGTGGGCTCTGGTTGCCGGCGCTGCGTGACGCACCTGCGCAGGCAGAGCCTTGGGGCCGCCGTGGAACAGAGTGCAGGCCCCGCTCGGCGTGCTCTTCGTCTTCTGCCGCCAGCCCTCCTTGGTCTCCCACAGGACGTGAAGTACATCCAGACCGATGGCTACCGGGCCCCCGAGGCCGAAGTGCAGAATTACCTCTCCCGAGCCGGCATTCCAGGGGGCACGGAATGCTCGTCCGCTGTAGATCTCTGGAGCCTCGGGGTAGTGTTGCTGGAGATGTTCTCGGGAACGAAGCTGAAGCACATCGTCCAGTCCCAGGAATGGAGGGTGAGCCGCTTCCCAGGGGCCCTGCAGATGAGCCCGTTACCCTTGGTAGCAGCCGCTGCGTGGGGAGCCTCGCGGGAGGCAGCCCAGCCCCCGTGTGCTCCAGTGGGCAAGGGGGCCACGGGCGGTGGGGACGGGATGCCTCCCTAGGCCGGTGGGGGGGCATTGGGTCCCTCTCATTTGCCTTTCCCCTGCCAAAAACAGCGCTGAGAAAGGCACTGGGCCTGTGCCAGGAGGGCAGCTGGAGTCGCCCGGGCACCGCGGACCCTGCCTGGCAGTGCTCCTCGGCAGCAGTAGGCCAAGCCCCATGGCTGCGGGACCCAAGGACATGCCACAGCCCGCCCCCCCCCCCCCCCCAGCAGCCTCACTCGCTTTCCCAGAATCCGTGTTCTGAGCAGCGTTCCGACACTGTCCGAACTGCAAGATTTGGGAGGAGCAGCCGGCTCTGCCGCGCGGCGATGTGTCTCCGGTCACTGAAAGCGTTTCGTCCTCCTTTCCTTTCCTTTCCTCCTGGCTGCAGGCGAACAATCCTGCCATCATTGACCACATCTTTGCCAGTAAAAGCACGGTCAGCCCGGCAATCCCGGCCTATCACCTCAGAGACCTCCTGAAAAGGTGGGCCGCTGGGCCCCTGGGCGAGGGGGTCCCAGGGCTGAGCCGGGGCCCTCGGAGCTGGGCGGGCGTTGCCGGTGGCGCCTCTAGCAGAGGCCGCGGGGCTGGGGCTGGGGCTGGGGCTGGGGCTGGGGCAGGAGCAGGAGCAGAGCCGGTGGGCGGGCCACTCCCCCTCCCCTCCCCTCCCACTGGGGGCTGCTGGGGTGAGGCAGCGCCCCCCCAGGCCCCTGCGATCGGGCCAAGTGCAGAGGCAGCCCCGGGGCCGCGGCTCAGGCGGACGCTCTGGGCAGGCGCTGGGGGGGGCAGGCGGGGGCCGCGCAGGGCAGCGCTGCCTCCCACGAGGCACCCCCAGCACGGCCAGGGCAGACCCCCGAGGAGCTCCCAGTGCTGGGCGGGGTGGGGGTGAGAGCCTCTCCCCAGGGGCTGTCTGGTGCAGAGCCCCCCAGCACGCGGTCCTCCGGCCCGCCAAGGCCCGGGGCGGCGCTTGGGCACGTGCGTGTGTGGCGTGACGGTCTGTGCTGTTCCCCGCAGCATGCTTCATTCCGACCAGGAGAAGAGGGCGACCGCGGCCCAGGCGCTGGGCAGCCCGTTCTTCAGCATTCCCTTCGGTAGGTCGCCTGGCATCGGCTCGGTTCCCGTCCCTCCGTTCAGTTTGGTTCCGCTTCTGCTTTCCCTTTCCCTCCTCCCTGTGAGCGGCCCGCCATTTTAAAAGGCTTTGCCTTTGGAAATGCGTCTTGGGGACCTCGGAGGGGTGTTCTCATTGGATGGTGATCCCCCACCCGTCTTCAGCACATTCATTTCCGAACTGAGACCTGGTGGCAGTGCCCGCCTCCCCTCGGATGATGCCTCCTGGGCCTGGCCGAGAGTCACGGAACGGAGTAGCCGAGCCGGAAGGGGTGAGGAGGCCCGGGCTTGCTGGCCCTGCGGTAGCACCCGGTGCTTGCCCCGTCTCGCCTGGAGGATGTCAGCCCTGTTCTGCTAGGAAGCGGGAGGGAGGGTGTCACCAGGAAGTCAACAAAGAAAGCAAAAAAGAAGAGGAGGGGGAGAAGTAAAAAATAAATAAGTTGGGGCCCCTCCCTCACTTGCTCCGACGGCTGGCTCTCCAGGAACGAGGTTGGTGCTCACCCTCCTCGACCGGCTGGGGCCGCTTCCCCAGCTAGAAGTCCGGAACTGGGAAGACCCCCCCCCCTGCAGCCACACAGCTGGCGACCGTAATCCAGCTGCTCCCCTCCCGTCGCAGCTCTCGGGCACACAGGGTCCTTTGGAGGAGCCGTCCGCTGGGCTGGGCCCCTGCCTGCCCCGCCTCGTCTCCTCCTCCCCCACCGGGGGCTTGGCCGCTTGTGCCCAGTGGTCCCTCGACCGGCTGGGGCCGCTTCCTCCCGCCTGCTCAGCCGGGAGCCGGGAGCCAGAGTGGGTGAGGGTGGGTTACGGGAGAAAGAGCTGGATTTGGGATCCCCTGAGGGTATGTTTGCGTAGGGCTAACAATTCTGCCTACTCGTTACTTCTGCTGATACAATGATGGATGTTTAAACAGCTCCCCATATTGAGGACCTGGTGATGCTTCCAACCCCAGTGCTACGATTGCTGAATATTTTGAGTGAATCGTCTCTTCAAAGCGAAGAGGAATTTGAGGGTGAGTGTGCTCTCCGTTGTCCTGCAACTGCTCCTTCTGAGGTCCCTGGTGGAACGGGCCGGCTGGGTGGGGGCCACACAAGACAGAAGACGACCATGTCCAATGCTTTCCTGCTCCAGAGTTTGAGAAACTTCTCGAGAGTTTCTCAGACTCTGGAGAAAAAATGTCTTGCTTCAGTCTGACTCTGGTATCCTTTAACTGACCTATAAAAGGCCACGAGCATTGGAACAGCTTCCTGTATTTTTCTCTCCCATAAAATTAAAACAGCTCCATATATAAGAATATTTTTGAAAATAAAAATAAAAAACCAGTCAGTATAATACGTGGTTAATTATAAGAATGTCAAATGTACGGTAACCTGGAAAAGCAGGAAGAGCCTTCCACTCAGTGTTGTGTAAACTGGGCCAAGCCCTGGGTGGTGGAGGGTGTGAGGCGGCTGCTGGCTGGCTGGGGCCGGCCGGGCACTGGGCCTGCTTCTGCGGCTCGGAGCAGGAGCCGGCGCCCCGTCTGTGCCTGCCCAGGTAACGTGGGGGACAGAGTTTTCACGCTGGCAGAAGGAAGGGTTTCCTCTGAAACAGTTTTCCACAGAGCCAGACGGGGCCTCCCGGCAGGGGAAAGGGTGGCGCCCGCGGCTGGTGAGTGCGCCGGGTGCCACGTCCTGCCCACTCGCCGGGTGCCACGCACGGGGTGCAGGCGCCCCGG